TATATATATATATATATATATATATATATATATATATATATATATATATATATATATATATATATATATATATATATATTATATATACTGTATATATACTGTATATACTGTATATACCAAAGCAATGGATTAAATTTAACTACTACGCCCTGACTTAACCCACGCTAACCAGCTAGCGCTAATGGTGCTGTGAACAACAGGCTCCAGATGCAAACTAAGGCCGGATTTTGGTGGGAATGGCGGGGGAATTTGAAGAAAATTTAGGGGAGGCGCAGCGGTCTACACACGTAAAAATCTGACATAGCAAGTAACACGTAATAAAAATCTCACGTAACAAGTCTGCCAACGGGCCGTCAACAAGATGTATTCGCACTGCTTGTTACAAGTTGTCAACAGGTTTGGGACAACTTGTTGACAAACTTGTAACAACCTTGTCGAAATTATCAGACCTGTTGCAAGGTTGTTCTGACAAGTCCGTTACATGCTTGATATAACAAGATTGTTACAACCATGTGTTGACAACCTTGTAACATCCTTGTTACATCATGGCTGTAACAAACGTGTTAGCACAGTCTTGTAACAAGGCTGATAATGCCATCAAGCTTGTTACAAGTTGTTAACAGCTCGTTTCAAACTTGTTACAACAAACTGGGAACAAGCAGTGCGAACGCAACTTGTTGACAGCTTGTGAACAGATTTGTAACAACTTGTTTGCAGACTTGTTACAACTTGTGCGTTTTTAAGTGTGTAGCTCACGACCCCGATGGAAAGTTGAGGCTTAGTCAGTGGGCCAAAGTCAACGACGTGACGTATGCGTGTAGTACAGTATACATATGTTTCAGTGTATTAATGAATTATGACTGACATTGCAATTACCACAAAGTCTATTTCGAAACATCGCATTAAAAGGGTACTTGACTACGGAAAAACTTTCTTAGGGACTGGTCATGAAGTAACTGCTAGGGTGGGCTGGAGGTAAATCACAAATTTTGCCAATAAGTTCGGCGACCCATCTTAGGATGTAGATAAAAATTTCAAAGCCCATCTAATCTTACAAAAAAAATTTTCATGACCCCCCCAATCTAAAGTGGGAAAATACACTTTTATAATAAAAAATAACTTGCAGGTATGAACATTGTAAAATATACATGGCACTGTATTGACATACATAATTCCACCAAGCTTGACCAACCGGCACATTGATACTGCATGAGCTGCTCTCCAGTTGGTTGTATTTGCTGTGATTCGACCACTTCTTGTTGTTGTGTAAACAAAGTACTGGCTTCAATAGCATCACTTGCATTTGATAATTTGGATAGTTTTGTTTACTTTGATTATTAATATCTTTATTTTTTGAAGTAGACATGCATGGGTTTTTGTTTGGTGGCCCAACCGTGGACATACAAAAGATTGGCGTCCCATCGAAACTGCCGAAAGATTTTCCATGGCCCATCCCAAATCACTCCAGCCCACCCTAGCAGTTACTTTATGACCGGTTTCTTACGAAGTGTAGACGCTAAGCAACCAATAAATGTCAATGTCATTGAAACTTTCCCAAGGGGAGGTGTACCGGTGCATGACTTTTCAGGGGAGGTGCAAAAATTCTCAGGGGAGGTGCACCCCCCCCCCCCCTCAACATCCGGCCATGATGCGTACTAAGCCAGTGGGAGGCAGTATAGCAGTAGTGGAAGTAAAATCTAGTACAAGCAGCAATCTTTGTAGGAGATACTAGTAGAAACTACCGAATGAACAGCCTTCGTTCGAAACGTCGAAGTTCTGTTTATATTTTTCAGGTATAGCTGTATTTCTTATACAATTCGATATTGCAATAATCAGTATCAATTTTGTGTGTTTATTCTTTTATATAGGACTATGGCAGTGGGAAGATGTTGAGCGGCGAAATTAAGAAAGAACTCATCTCAGTTATACAACCTTTAGTAGCGGCACATCAAGAACGAAGGAAGGAAGTCACGCCTGAAGTGGTCAAACAATTTATGACACCAAGAAAATTAAATTTTTAAAGTGGTACATGATATACTGAACTTAAAGTAGAGATATAGCAAGATACAGTATTATAAAGATGTACAGTGATTGTTAAAATTGCCATTTGCATGAATGAAGTCTGTATGAACCAGGCCACTTGGTGCCTAGGCTCGATTTCCAGCGAGCCTACTTGGTGCCCAGGTGTCACTAAGAGTAGTAGCCACTGTCAGTGATGGCCGGCATAGGTGATCAACTTCAAAAATGTCAACACTGATTGATGCAAGAAAGTTAATAAAACCAGCCAGACTCTCCCCCCAAGAAGTAAACTTTTCTGGCATTAAATAAAGTAAAAAACCCCATAAAGTGTTGGGTACATTGCAGCTTAATTAACGAGACACATTCGCAGATACTTTGGTTAAATTTGAAATTTCATTTATGACACCCATATTTTGCCATATGGAACCATGGCACCACTTCATGCACCAGTAATTCAATGTGATTATTTCCGAATGCTGGGAGTAATCGGTGGCTATTACTATAACAATGAATGGGGAATCGGGGAAAGGAAGCGGTGACCGCACTTGAGAGTTGAGAATCGCTCAAAAAACTAATAATATATTCAATCATTCAGATTATGTGACTACTCACTTGCCAATATACAGTATTATATCTTATGATTGATATTAGGCCATGTTTTCACTTTCATGCTATAAATACAGTACTGCTTGTACTGTAGCTTTGATAAGCTATATATATATAGTGTGAGTGAAGAACACAACAAAAAATAACAAGAAGCAACTAATTATCTTATATAGTTATATTCTACGGTTTTTGACAGCTAGGCCTAGGAATCTTTGGTTTGACAGATTTGGCAGCTTGCAAGTGAGCAATGTTTATGTTTACCGTCCAAAAGCCGTCTTTTTTAGAAGGCCGTCCAAATTTGAAAATGGCCGTCCAAAAGACGGCTGGACGGGTAGGCTGGCTAAGACCCTGTGTGCAAGACTCTCCACGCGTGAAATCATCTGGCAGTAGACAAATTGGGCACACTGCAGCTTAATTGGCAGATACTGTATTTTGGTTAACCCACCAATGCGCAGGACTCTTGGACCGTTATGAGAAAATAGACTGGTGTTAGACAAAGTAAAATAACAAAGTAGAGTGCATTTGACACATTGCAGCGTAATGTGTTTATTACAACTTTGATGATTGTACAATAAATTTTAAAATATGCATTCTTGTGGATTTGCAGTGAACATAATTTATTATCTAATAATTTGCCTGTCAATTGTAATTTAATACTAGAACTATAGTAATACTAGAACTATGCAAAAATGAGTCTCTGGGGTGCATGTGCATTGCACTCTTTCGATAATTATGTCACAAATCCATTGTTGGCTGGGAGCCTTGTTCTCATGAATCATGAGCGAATAGCCTTTCATAATTCACGAGAGTGAGGCTCCATGCAGAAGTATTGACATAACTATCAAAAAGGGGGGGTGTGTTTGACAATTTTGCCAGTGTGTCACTGATGCTAATAAATAATAAACAGCATGAATAAATTATTGTCTGTGGTCAAACCAAGCACTATGCTGCCTGACTATCATCATCTTCATCCTCAATATCATCATCAATTAAACACTGCTTAATTTGTTCCTGCAACTCCTCGCTAACATCGTTATCAGCCAAATTAATGTCCTTTAATGATGTTGGATAGTTAGCAACCACATCAAACAGTAGCTCTGCCCCGGACTCTGTAATGCCACACCCTTCAAAGTCAACTTTCTCTAATGTTGCACTTGCTGCCATGGCAACAGCCAGCACCCCTGTCCCATAATTTCCAATTTTGTTATAGTCTAGGTAAAGGTTACGTAATCGCGAACTGGCAGCAATTGCGATTGCTAGGTATGACCATCCCATTTGTGTGATGTTGTTGTTTCCAGTTAAGGTTAAAGTGTGCAAGCATGTTTTTCCTTCCTCAGGAGGTAGCAAGATACATATTTGTTGTAAACCATCATCGGTCAGGTCACAGTCGCCAACATCCAGGGATGAAATCTTTGGGTGAGCTTGCAATGCATTGACCAAGTATTTAAGACCATCATCACTCAAGCGGTTGCCATGGAGACTGAAATGGTTAATACAATGTAGAGTTGGTCATATGTAGGTAATGTACATCAACAACATGCAGCCATAAATGATTGCCAACACTCTCCCCTTGACCAATGTGTGAGACAGGGTAAAATAATAAAGTATGGTGCATTTGGGTGCAATGCTACTTTACCCTTTAAATTAAGTAGCAATGCTCCCTTCTGTCCCCTACTTCAGTTTATTATTCTGTCTAAT